GTTGGAAGAGTGTGCAGGCAGATCAGTGGATGGATACCGAACTAAAACATTAGTAGCACATTCTTTGCTCATTGACTTTCCCCTGTAGAATGTGCAGCCCCTGGTGGGGTTAGCCCCAAACCGCCAACAGCCAGGGAAGTGAGGACAGATGCCGACAGGGAGTACAGAAGTAAGCTTACAAGTTCTGCTGTTTGATGGAAACCATCTGGCATGTCAGTAAAGTACAATCTCCTAACTTTTCTTTGTTTCTGAGTGTGTGTGTGAGTGTGTGTGTGTGTGTCCCAGGGCATACGTGTGGAGGCCAGAGAACAGTTTCCAGGGGTTGATTCTCTTTCCACCATGTGGGTTCTTCAGTGCTCAGACTCGGGTTGTTAAACTTTACAAGCTGAGCCGTCTCTCTGTCCACACCCTGCACACACACACACACAAACCTCTTTTCAGTTGAGACAGGGTTTCACTTGGTAGACCAGGTTGGCCTGAAACTCACGATGTAGCTCAGACTTTCCTTGAATTCCACAGAAATCTTGCCTTAGACTCCCAAGGGTTGGATTATAGACACGAGCTACCATATCTGGCTTCATCGTGATGTTCTCATAGAGGCATTTGATTTTTTTCACCCCTAATTTCTTTTTCTTCTTTTTTTTTTTTTTTTTTTTTTTTTCTTTTTTGGATTTTTGAGACCGGGTTTCTCTGTATTGTTTTAGAGCCTGTCTTGGAACTCACTCTGTAGACCAGGCTGGCCTCAAACTCACAGAGATCCCCCTGCCTCTGCCTCCCGAGTGCTGGGACTAAAGGCGTGCTCCACGAACCCATAATTTCTTTGAAGTAATCCCTGAGCAGAAATAATATCTGAGGACTCTCGCTTTTCCAATGCCAGATTCGTGGGGAACAGGCCAGAAACATAGCGAGGCAAGGGAGGCTTCATGGAGGCCGTGATGCTAAGAGTGAGGCCTACCCTGGATGCTCACCTTGGAGCCACCTGGCTTACCCCTCCTAGTTCCTGCTACCCAGGGCTGTATAAACGCCGTTGTTCATTTACTCTTGACTGGAAAAGGGAGTTAAGTTACAGACCCACCTGAGGTTTTCGGCCATTAGAACAGTTCTGTGCTGGAGGACCACTCTAGAAATGACAGGATACGATTCCTGCAAGTTCAAGGCCAGCCTGAGCTACATGGTGAGCTCCTGTCTCAAAACAAATCAAGCTAAAAAGGACAGACCAATCGCTGACACCCTGCTATCCTGAAACAGTGTACCTTAGTCAGAGGTCCTGGAGCCTTGAGGATTGGCCTCTATGCCAGTGTTAGTACAGACAGGCCGCTCACCTGAGCAAGATGTACAACTACAAATGTGAGTTCCTGGGAGTATATGTTCCTGGGAGTATAGCGGTGTGTGTGCACTCTTGGGGAGAGAATAACCTCAGTGTGTTTTCACGAGCACGGTCCACCTCCTTTGAGAGGTGTATCTCATTGGAGTGCATCACAAAGCTTAGGCTGGCTGGATAGTTATCTAGGGATCCTCCCACCACCTCACTCCCTGGCTGTCAGACAAGCACTTGCCACCATGCTGGCCATTTTTATGTGGGTTCTGGGAATCAAATTCATGTTCCAGCTTTGGAGTCAAGGGCTCTATTAACTATACTATCTGCCCAGCCCGATGTGGGCTTTAACTAACCACTGAAGTCAATCACCAGGGAAGAGCTCAGGGTGTGTGTGTTGCTGAAGAGATCCTGGCTTTGGGAGAGATCTCTTTCTTCAGAGGGACCTGGCCCCTCAACTTCTGGCTCAGTGGCAGGGTCCTGTATGAACTCCTACAAATCCCCCAGGCATCAGCTGTCTCCTGGCCCTGCTGCCTGGGGAATGCTGTGCTCCAGGGCAGTATCTGTCAGCTCTAGCCTGCAGGCTCCCCGTTCTTCCTGTAGGGGGATCTGCTGAAATGAGAACTCAGGTTGTGAGTGTGGGGAATGCGTTTCTGGGGCGGAAAGGAACAAAGTGGGAACTCAAAGGAACTAGCTGTCCTGTGCGCCTGTCATGTTTACTTCTCCCCGAGACCACGACTGACAGGGGTTTGGACCTGATGGAATTCTGGGCTGTTACTTCTGTCTCCAGTGGATGCTTAAAGGAACCCCGAGACCCCAGAAGGCTGGGTCCTTGGGGGCATTCTCTCAAGGGATGGTGAACAACGGGCATTTACGCAAATGAGTCGACATACTTGCTATGCATGCATAATTTCCCTACATGGAGCTCCACTAGCCCTGGACAGGTTTTCAAGTTAAAAGCATTTTTATGGCTCACTTGATAGCAGCCACATCAGGGTTTTTCTCTCTCAGTCTTCTCCCTCAGGCTCTCTCCCTGGCCCAGATCTCCAGTGAGTGAACAGAAGAGCTAAAGAAGGTCCAGGAAGGAATGCAGGCCTCTGTGGCTCCAGCCCAGGCTCCTTGGAGAGATTAGCTGATTACTTAACCTTTGTCCTAGGCACTGACTGAGGCTCTTAAAAAACTATCAGTGCAATTATACTGTAGACTAGAATTCAAACTCAATTCAGCAAAATTCTTGTTGACCCAGAACTTTTCTAAAGTAGCTATTCCTTTCTTGCTGTCTCTGATGATCACTTGGTAAAAATGAGTTTTAGGGGCTGAGGTACAGCTCAGTGGGTAGTGTGCTTGCCTAGCATCCATGGAGCCTTGGGTTCAATCCCCAGTGTCTCTAGTACTGAAAGATTGGACATGACTGTGCACGCCTGTAAACCTAGTACTTGGGAGGTGAAAGCAGGAGGACCAGGAATTCAAAGTCATCCTGAGCTACATAAAGAAGCTGCATGAGACCTTCATACAGGATCCTCCTGCCTCTGCCCACCAAGTGCTGGGATTACAGGAGCCTACCACGGTAGGCTGTGGTGTTTTTAGGCAAAGAATATCAGATGAAGATGTTAAGTGGGTAATAGCATGTATCAACTGGACTTCCATGCGTGAAAGGTTAAAACAGAGAATGGAGAGGAGGCTACCTACTTGTCCCTGTATCAAAAGGGCCTCCAAAGAATTTACAACATCCCATGGGGCTGGGCAGTGGTGGCTTATGCCTTTAATCCCAGCACTCAGGAGACAGAGGCAGGTAGATCTTTGTGAGTTCAAGACTAGCCTGGTCTACAAGAGCTAGTTTCAGGGCAGCCTCCAAAGCCACAGAGAACCGGTCCAAACAAACAAACAAACCAAACAAAACAACCCCCCCCCAAAAAAAAGTCCCATGGGAATGGCCATGCTCTTTCCTAATTAAGCAAAAGAAAAAGCAAGCCTGGCACAGGGCCCCCCTGCTGTGGTTGCTAAGTCTTACGTGTTTTTCTATGCCTGTAGGTAAGGTTCCTTCATGAGAGGAGGGATCAACTTCTAGGGTACAAAGTGTGATTAAGAGATGGGAATGAAGGCAGGCAGTGGTGGTGCACACCTTTAACCCCAGCACTCAGGAGGCAGAGGAAGAGGCAGAGGGATCTCTGTGAGTTCGAGGCCTACCTGGTCTACAGAACAGCCAAGGCGACACAGTGAAACTCTGTCTGGAAAAAAAGTGGAACCCTGTCAGGTTCCAAGCAGGCAGAGGTGGGACTAGAAAAAAGATTTTTTTCCCCTAGATTTATTTGTATGTATGAGTATTGTTGCTTTTATTTGTTGGTTGTTTTTCCAGACAGGGTCTCACTATGTAGCCCTGGCTACCCAAGAACTTACTTTGTAGACCAGGCTGGCCTCAAACTCATAGATATTTGCCTGCTGAGATTAAAGGCATGCACTACTGAACCTGGGCCTGTGTGAGTGTTTTGCTTGAATGTATGTCTGTGCACAATGTACTGTGCTTGGCGCCCAAGGTCAGAGAGGGCATCAGATCCCCTGGAGCTGGAGTTGAGTTACCATGTGGGTGCTGGGAATCAAACCTTAGTCCTGGGCAAGACCGAGAAGATGAGCCATCTCTCCAGCGTGTTCCCCAGTAGTGAGGTGGGCAGCACAGTGAGACCCCATCTCGAAAATAAAAATTGAAGTGTTGCTTTCATTTGACTGTGGCTTTTGCTGTTTTCTATCAGACAAAGTTTCATGTAGCCCAAGCTGGTCTTGACCTCACTACGCATTCTGGAGTTCCCAAACCTTTCTCTACCTCCCAAAGGCTGGAATCGAATGCTCTAGATTCCTGGCCCTAGTGTTTTACTGTTACCTAGCACCAGCAAGGAAGGATCTGCGTGAAGAGAAAGGAATGTGGCTCCAGTTCCCTCCCTAAGGCACTTTTGGAAGCCTAATGGTTAGGGCCAGGGCCTACAGGGGGAGCTCCAAACTCTGCCAGGAAGTCCTGGGAGGGTCTGGAGCAGGGACTAGGCCCTCCCTCAGGATCCGCCAACCAGGAGACCTTGGAGAAAACCAAGGCAATTGTTCATAAGTAACTGTAGCACAGAGTCATTTGGTTACTGCTAAAAAGGTGAACAAAAATGCAAAATACACTTGGGAGGCGAAGCAGGAGAATCAGAAATTCAAGGCCAGCCTTGGTAACAAGAAGTTCTGGGTTGAGCCTGGTGGTGCTGGCACCCTCCCCCACCAGCGCTTGAGAGGCACAGGCTGGCAGGTCTCTGTGAGTTCCAGACTAGACTGGTCTACAGACTGTGTGTTCCAGAACAGCCAGGGCTGTTACACAGAGAAACCCTGTCTTGAAAAAAAACAAAACAAACAAACAAACGTTCTGGGTCAATATAAACTACATGAGGTCTGGGGGTGGACAGCAGGGTAAAGGTGCCTGCCAAGCCCAGTGAGTTCCATCCCCAAAACCCAAAAAGACTTCTGTGAAGTTGTCTTTTGACCTCTGAAATCATCTGGTGGCACAGAAGACTCCCAACCCCCACAGCACACAAATAAAATGTAACAAACAAACCCAAAACCTAAACCTAAACCACATTCCCCTTGCAAATCACACACACACACACACACACACACACACACACACACACACACACACACAGTACAATCAGGGGACAGCTAGATCTATAAAACAGCTTTACAAACATAAACTAGGCAAGCAGTCACCCCAAACTACTCTGTATGTTGTTGGAAGTTCAAGTCGTGCTGAAGCAGTTTAAATTCTTGCTGATCAGTCTCCCCTCCTGGGAAACAAAAACAAAAACATAAATTAAAAAAAAAAAAATCGAAAACCTCATCAAACCCACAAATACAGAAATGTCTGTAATTACCTGAGCAATGACGTCTTCTGTCTGCTCAGGCTTCTCACTGTTTTGTGGTGTGTGTGTGTGTGTGTGTGTGTGTCCACGGAAGCTCTACCTTGTTTGTTTGGAAAGTCTTCACCCACAGGCCACACATGGGGCCTTTCCAAGGTCTGCAAAGGACATTGCAGAAGGGACAGGCTGCAAGTGACTACCCTGAGTTGACACTCTACCAAGTCAAACCCTAAAGGCTGTGTGAGCTGTCCGGGGAAGCGGGCACAAACAGCATGCACAGAGGGGTGGCCACATCTTAGCGGGTCACCCAGCATCCACCATGGAGTCTTGGGGACAATTTGGGACGTGGGGTTGGCAGAGCACTCGGGATTCTGGCGGTGGGGGGGGGTATGAAGGATGCGGGTGCTTCCCGTTGGGGGGGTCAGACCTGGGCAGACGCGATGGAGGGGGGCCCTGGCTGCCGGGGCGGGGCGGGGCGCTTTGGGATTCAGGGACAAAGGCGAGCGAGCTCGAGGCAGGCCTCCCCGGGGCCGCGGGGGAGGCGCACCCCGCGCGCTAGCCCAACCAGGACACTACTCAGGCCTGGAGGGGCCCCCGCGGCTTGCGCCCGACGCGGCCGGGGCCTCTCGGGCACAGCGGGGCAGCTCCGGGGCTCCCGCGCCCCTGCCCGTCGCCGCCGCTCAGCCCCGGGCCGCGTCCGCGCCGCAGCCTCCGCGCGAAGCACGCGCCGCCGGCTCCCGCCGCAGCTCGCTTCCCATTGGCTGTCCGGCCGGCGGGCGCTCCCGCCCCGCCGTCCCATTGGCCGAGGCCGCCGCGGTCCCCCCGCGCGCCGGCCGCCGCTGACATCACGCGGCGCGAGGCGGCGGCGCCCCCCCCGCCCCCCGGCTCGGCCCCGCAGCCCCCCTGAGGCCGAGGCGCCGCCGCGGTGCCGGGCGGAGGATGCTGCGCGCCCCGCAGGCCGCTCCCCGCCGCCCCAGCCGCAGCGCCTCAGCCGAGCGGGCCGCGGCGGGGCCCCGAGCCCCGCATCGGGCGTGCGGCCGGCCGGCGCGCTGAGGCGCGGAGAGCGGAGCCCGGCGACGCCGCGGTCGCAGCGGCCATGGGGGCCCTAACGAGCCGGCAGCACGCGGGCGTGGAGGAGGTGGACGTCCCGTCCAATTCCGTGTACCGCTACCCGCCCAAGTCCGGTGAGCGCCGGGCGCGCGCCGCGGGCCGCGGGCCGGGCGGAGGGGAGGCCGCGCGGCGGGGGCTGCTGCGGGCGGGCGGGCGGCGCGGGGGCCCGGGCGGCCGGGGCTGGGCCTCGGAGCCGGGGAGGGCTTGGGGGTGCAGGGCGCGGCGGGGGCTGCCCCCCACCCCGGGTCCCCGCGACGCCGCGCAGAGGACTGCAGGTGCCTGCGGGGTCGGCGAGGTCACCCTCCACCCGGGACGCGAGCGGTGGAGGTGGGAATCCGCTCTGCGGCAGGGACGCGCGCCGCCCGCCCGCGATGCCGCGTTGCAGGGGCTGCGGGGTTTGGAGAGGCATCCCTGGCCACGCACCTGCGCCAGGTGTTGTCCCCCGGCTGCGTCATGCTGGCCTCCGGGACGCGTAGGACTGGGTTTCTGCTGCGCTGGGGTGGGGGACGGGGGAGGACGGCGAACTTGCTAGCGCTGTCCTTTGCCTTTCCAGAGGAAAGTCGGAGGAAAACTAAGTGAGCAGAAATGTGTGGGGGATCTGACAGTCACTTGGGTTGCCCCTTTGCTAGTTTGTGGCAACGGGATGGCTGGGGACAGGACGAAATTATTTCTCGGACGCATACCGTCACGCGGAAAGGTAAATGAATGCCTCCATCCTCAGCATCAGCATCAGCATTGCAGGACATTTTTGACGGCAGAGGAGAAGGAAAAGCAAAAGTGGTCGAATTGAGTGGAGGACAGCCGCCGAGCTGCTGGTGAATGACCCCGCCTTCTGACCTCCCTAGGCCCTGGGGACCCATGCGTACCGCCCTCCGTCAGTCTTGAGAGGACCTGATGGGCATTTTGATGATGGCACAGTGAGGTGTTAGAATTGGAGAGGATCCCGTTTTCCCTTTGGTAGAATAAAGACATGCTCTTGAGTCGAGCTGGCTTCTCAGCAGTACATTCCAGTTTCTGCCAGGTGGAAGCTGGGACCAGACAATGAACCTGCCTCCCTGCAGAGTGTGTACCAGCAGCTCTGCTTCTGTGCCAGAGAATAAGCCCTTGCAGAAATGAGTAAGAACTGAGACAGAGCTGCGGATCCTTAGTGTTTTAATAAAGCTCTTGATAATTATGACTGTATGCTTACTTTTATCTGTTAAAGGCAGGAGGATTATGAAGTCAGGGGTCAGCCTGGGCTCCGCAGTGAGATTGCCTCAAACAAAATGTAACCAACACAACAACAAAAAGGAAACTGTACGCAATCAGCCTCCCTTCCAGTGATAGGATTACGAACGCGGGCCACTGTACCTGACTTGCATTTTGTCACTTAAAAACGAAAATATGCAGCAGTGTCATGCCCCCCCCCCCCCCGCACGCGCCACGGTGTCTCAGTCATTCAGCTTGTATTGATCAGAACATGGATCGTGTTTTGCTGAGCCTGGAGTTTTCAGTAGGGTTTGCTGCCTCAGGAGGGTATTCACCCTTCCTTCTCCAAGTGTGCATCAGCAGTGGTAGAAATCTCCCGGGCTGCTCCCAAAGGATGCAGGAGAAAGAGAAATTGAAGGCAGCAAGAGAATCATGGGCCAAACTGAAACCTTTTAGGGGAGATGGGAATCTGTTTTTTGAGACAGGGTCTCACCCTGTAGATCAGGCTGGCCGGCAAATGTAACTGGTGAGCCACAGACTTGCCTAGCGTCCCCTTCCCAAACAGTAGGATTAAGAGCATAATCACAACACATGGCTCCAAATCCTTTCTTAACTGTCAAATTCAGTATTTAATACTACAAAAGAATGCTCCCAGGGCGGGACCTACCCATCTTTGAAAAGCGTTACCTAATTATAACTCATTTTTACCTATTCCTTTAGGTTGTTATTTTGAAACAGGGTCTTATTTAGCCCAGGCTGACCTCATACTGACTTTAGTAGTCAAGGATGTCTTTGAACTTCTGATCCTCTCAGGAACTGAGACCATAGAATTTTACCACCAACCTGAGTGTGTAGTCTGAACCCTTGAGCCCAGGATTTCAAGACAGGGTTTCTCTGTAGCTTTGAGGGCTGGCTTGAAACAGAGATTCACCTGCCAGTGCCTCCTGAGTGCCGGGATTAAAGGTGTACGGCATTGCCTGGTTGAACCCAGGATTTCTTAAATGCTAGGTGAACACTCTTACCAACTAAACTGTATACACTTCCAACTAGGCACAGCAAAATGCTTTATTTGTTATTATTTTTTTTTTGAAGACAGTCTTTCTGTGTATTCCAGGTTGGCTTTAATTTTTCTGTTTTCTTTCTTCTTTCCTTTTGTTTAGAGATTGGCCTGGAATTCACAGTGTAGACCAGGATGGCCTGGAATTTTGTGTCTCTTCCTCAAGTGCTGGGATTAAAGACATTCACTATTCACACACACACACACACACACACACACACACACACACACACACACGGTTTTTTGAGACAGGGTTTCTCTGTATTGCTTTGGAGCCTGTCCTGGAAGTAGTTCTATAGACCAGGCCGGACTCACATAGATCCACCTGCCTCTGCCTCCTGAAAGCTGGGGTTAAAGGCGTGCACCACCAATGACTGCCTCAGAAGGCCGTGACTTGCTTGGCCTTAAACTTTTTGTTTTTCCCCTCATATAGCCCAGGCTGGCCGGACAAATTATGTCACCAAGTAGCCTTGGACTTCTGACTCTCTTAGTACTGCCACTGCTCGTTCCTTAGCTTCTTCCCTGCCAAGACTACGCTGGTGTGAGCCAGCACTCCTGTGACTTTGGACTAATATTTTGTTGTTGCTGGAGAGCAAAGCAGGGCCTTGGGAATGCAAGCTAAGTGTCCCGCTAGTGAGTTATACTGTCTGACAGCTTTAGTCCATTTGATTTTAATGTCTATTATGTCCTTGTATTTTACTTCACATCCCCCAAATCCTTCACAGCAATATTTAGACTAGTGTTTGAAGAGACCATTAGATATTATTATCACCTAGGCAAATTAACATAGACAGTGTAGACATGGTGTCTTGGCTGTCCCAGAACTTATCAGTAGAGCAGGCTGGCCTTTAAGCCAGAGATCTTTGCCTACCGAGTGGGTATGGTTGTGTGAGTATGTGCAGCTGTAGAGGCATGGAGTCCCTTGAAGCTGGAGTTACAGGCATGTGGGCCATTGTGAGCTACCCAGTGTGGGTGCTGGGAATTGAACTGGGTCCTCTGCAAGGGCAGTGTGGGCCCTCAACCACTGAGTGTCTCTCTTCAGTTCCTGGCTTTCTTTATTTTATTATTATTTTGAGTCAAGATCTTACTACATGAATCAGAACTGTTCACCCCCTGTCTCAGGCTCTGAAGTAATGAGTATTACAGGTGTGTTATTGTGTTCGGCTGTCTTATTTTTAACTAAGCCAGAATTTTTAATAGTTGCAAGGGTCCTGGAACACATAAAATATTTAATAACTAAGTACATCTTTAAAAACTCACTATTTAAAAACTACACTTCTTCCAAAAGTTCACTGTTAATCATCTAGTGTCAGAGGTAAGATGCATGCATGTACATGTACAAATACAAGAATGCAGACTATGGGGTAACCAAGCAGCTCTGTCCTATTAGTGTGAGTGTTATTTCCTATATGCTGTCAGTCCGTGTTAATTACCATACCAATAGCATGAACTATGAAAGCTACCTGATTGTATTAGCAGATCCAGACAAAACATTTGCTAGAACTTCCACTCATCTGTGATTAAAAACAACACAGCCAGGTGGTGGTAGCACACACCTTTAATCCCAGCATTCCAGAGGCAGAGGCAGGCAGATCTCTTGAGTTCCAGCCTAGCCTTTTCTCCAGATGGAGTTCCAGGACAGCTAGGGCTACACAGAGAAACCCTGTAAATGGAAGTTTCTCTCCCACTCTCCAGTTCCCAAGTAAACACTCAAAGACTTAATATTAATTATAACTGTTTGTCCAATGGTTCAGGCATAATACTGGCTAGCTCTCACAACTAAAATCAACCCATTTATACTAATCTGTGTATTACCATGTGGCTGTGGCTTACCAGTAATGCTCTGGCATCTTACCTCTTGGGTGGCTGCATGGCATCTCCCTGACTTTGCTTCTTTCTCTATCTCTGTTTGGATTTCTGACCTAGCTATATTCTGCCCCGCCATAGGCCAAAACAGCTTTATTCATCAACCAATAAAAACAACACTTATTCACTATATACAGAAGGACATCTACATCAAAAGCCCTGTCATGAAAAATTGAACCAAACCAAAACAATAAAAACTACACTTGCCAAATTAGGACTAGAAAGGAACTTCAAGCTAATGAAGGGCATCCACAGGAAATTGGCATCATATTTAGTGACACTAATCACTTCCCTGCTAATATCAAGAGCAAGGGGGAAAATCTGCTTTTGATATTCATTTTTATTTTTCCAAAAGATAGGGTTTCATGTCTTCCAGGTTGGCTTGAACTTCCTATATACCCAAGGAAGATTTTTGAACGCCTTAGCTTCCTGCACACATACCCATACCCTCAAGTGCTAGGGTTACAGGCGTGGGGGCATATGCTGGGTTTTATTCATATGGAAGATGGGAGGCAAGTATTCTACCAATCAGGGTACACACACACACAGACTCACACACACATACACACACAGACTCACACAGATACACATTCACACAGATTCACATACACACTCATACACACAGACACACACACACATATACACAGACATACACACACATACACAGACCCCCCCACACACATACCCCACACAGACACACACGCACACAGACACCCCCACACAGACACACACACAGACACCCCACACAGACATTCACACACAGACACACACACATACCCCACACAGACACACGCACACATTCACACACAGACACACACACACATGCATGCACACTCCTTTTCTGACAGGATCATCTGAAACCCAGGCTGGTCTGGAATGCAGCTGCGGATGACCTGGATGATTTAAAAATGAGAAAGGCAGGAAAGAGCTCAGTTAATAGCCCTGGATGTCCCCTGATCAATC